TGGTCATTCTATTCTTGGTCATACAGGTAAAATGACAATTCAGTATCCTAATCTTGGTCATACAGGTAAAATGACAATGTGGTCATCCTAATCTTGGTCATACAGGTAAAATGACATTGTGGTATCCTAATCTTGGTCATACAGGTAAAATGATAATGTGGTCATCCTAATCTTGGCCATATGGGTAAAATGACAATGTGGTCATCATACAGGTAAAATGACAATGTGGTCATCCTAATCTTGGTCATACAAGTAAAATGACAATGTGGTCATATAGTTAAAATGACAATGTGGTCATCCTAATCTTTGTCATACAGGTAAAATGACAATATGGTCATCATACAGGTAAAATGACAATGTGGTATCCTAATCTTGGCCATATAGGTAAAATGACAATGTGGTCATATAGGTAAAATGACAATGTGGTCATCCTAATCTTGGTCATACAGGTAAAATGGCAATGTGGTCATCCTAATCTTGGCCATATGGGTAAAATGACAATGTGGTCATCATACAGGTAAAATGACAATGTGGTCATCCTAATCTTGGTCATACAGGTAAAATGACAATGTGGTCATATAGGTAAAATGACAATGTGGTCATCCTAATCTTGGTCATACAGGTAAAATGTGACAATGTGGTCATTCTATTCTTGGTCATATAAAGGAAAGGTGATAAAAAAAAACATCCTAAATTTGGTCATACAAATGTACTGGCAAAATGTGACAATGAATTCATTCTAATCTTTGTCATACGGGTAAAATTTGACAATGCAGTCATCCTAATCTTGATTAAACAAGGAAAATCGAGAATAATTTCATCCTCAATTGGTCATACAGAAGAAAACTGAAAATAATGTCATCCTGAGGTTCATATTGGTGAAATTCATAATGCAGTCATCCTGATCTTGCTCAAACCTAATCTGTTTTGCAGTCATTGGTATCTTTTTCTTTTCATCATAAGACATCCATACCCTTATCTTGGCCATACAGGTGAAAACTGATAATAATTACCTTACAAACAGGAATTGATGAAAACGAACACCTGTTCTGTCTGCTTATATACTACACCCTGATAAATAATTCAGCTTATCCTATTCCAGCTACCCCAACACTAACAAAGTGTCAGCCCGAGTCAGATCTAATACAATTTCCTAGGCAAGAAACAATCTGCTTGCTCAGTTACTTCAATAAATAATGATACTCTTGGAAGACAAACACGAATTTTCAAATATGACCAAACAAATGCTTCCTTTAGGTTTGAACATTCTAGCAACAATAATAGTGCAATAACTAACATGGAAGTGGCGGGTAAAACATTCATTAGATTAACATTGGTGAGACCAAACGTGAGGAAGAATAGTTGCCTTGTTTCCTCGCAATATAATCTGATTAAAATCATATGTTACATGGCTTCGTTAACTTCGTACTACGCCTGAACATCTGAGTGTGCCGCGGTCAGGGTCACGTTCAGGTGACCTTTATATTTATAAATACTCATTAAATTTTGACCAATCAGAGACCCTCTTTCAAAGGGGCGCTCGGAGTTGTAACAAATATGTCAGACCACAGAATTAGATTAGACATTGATGAGAATGATGCAAAAGTTCTGAAGTTATATGAGATTGATCGTCTGAAACCCGAACAGAAAAAGATATTCGAAGCTTTATTAGAGAAGAAAGACTGTATGGCGGTGTTGCCTACGTAATTTTTACCCAATTGGTACGTTTTCCTTGGCGTCGTAGAAACGTCAGTTCCCGCCGCCATATTTGTTTTGTAAAACTAATCTGTTCGATACCCCTTGCTATATATGTATCAACCATGATATTCCGATTCGCTGGCAAACTTTTGATTGGTTCATCTAAAGGTCACTTGAACGTGACCCTGAGCGCGGCACATTCAGACGTTCAGGCAGAGCCATGTAACAGATGATTTTAATTGGATTGCTCGCAATAAAGAAGAGCAAAGATCCGGAATCCTCAAAGCCCCCCCCCCCCCACCCCAACCCAACCCAACCCCACCCAAACACATCAAACACCAACCAACAAAGGATTGATGTAAAATTTGCAAGCAATGAGATGAAACTAGGCTTATATCCATGTTAATTGTCCCTTCACAATAAAGGTATGAAAGTAAGATTTATGACCATTTTTGTTTTTGTGGTTGACAGTATGGCCATCACAATAGCCAATATCACACCACGATGGGTGCCTCCCTGATGAGTACCTAGGGTGGTACCGAAGAAAATAGAGAGCAGGGAGGTGGGGAAAAAAAGATAGAGAACATTATATTATGGTGCAATGGGGAGGGAAGGGGGCAGAAGCAGTAGATAAACTTTGATTTCTTCAATATCCCCTAGTCACACTAGGACACAGAAGAAAACCTTATTATATAGGGGACCTAGTAGTCACCCATTACGATACCGCAGGAAGGGTACAGGAGGCCTATTTTTTCCTTGAATCAGGTTCATGACCAATGTGACAAGAAACTGAAAACCATAGACATTAGGTCTCCCTTACAATAACGGATTGAAAGGATGACTTGCACCCAATGGGATAAGAAATTTGGGATCTGCCGAACCTAGCCATATTGATTCCTTCATTATAGCAATGTGAGAAAAAGAATCTGTGACCAAGAAGAATCCTAGTGGTTAAAATGTAGCCATGTTGCCCTCTTCACAATTCAGTAGTGTAGAAAGGTTTGTGCCCATACGACAAAGCTGTGATATCCCCTCACAAGCAAGGAATACAATATAAGTGACATTTTATTTTTATTTTACACATATTTTATTTAAAGTATTGAACTGGTGTGGAGGTGAGATTATCATAAAACACCACTTGTCTTACGCCATGTTCTGAACAGTGAAACTTTGATCTCCCGACCAATGGTAACCACCCATGTCTTATCTTATATTGAAGTCATCCACCTTAAATTCCAGGTCGTTTGACTTGAGCATATCACCTTCCCGGGGGCATTTTTTATTGACAATGATATCTTCAGCAGTCTATTATAAACAAAAGTGACGCCTTATCACAGTCTCCAACTATGCCTCTCTATTAGTCATAAATAGCCATTGACCATAAAATCAGTCATAAAATTGATGAACATTTCCTTTATGTCAAAAAAAGGTTTTGTTTTTATTATTATGTTATATAAGTACAAGTGAGTGCATCTTGCACTATGTGACTTTAGAAAGTGACTTTTTCTTAAGTTAGCTAATCAGAAATATTGGCAATTCCTTATAATCTCATAATTGAAAAGAAAGAAGTGATTTTTATGTTCTTATTTAACCAATCAGAATTTTTCAGCATTGAAAAAAACATGTCAGTTGGTGTTGTTTTTAAGATTGCTATATATACCGCTGGTAACATCAAATCTGAACAATCCTTGGGATAGGTAAAATTGAAAATATAGAAATACTTTATGGTATGTCTATTTCAACACATCTCATCATATTTTACACCAGCAAATATATATTGTACGTACTCTGCCGGAGACTCAGCTATTGATTACCTTGGCATTTTCTGCACAGGACTTGGATAGTATGATAGGTTCAAAGATTTTTGTAAAAAAAATATCAAACAAGTCTTGAATAAACATCCAAAAATTGTTTTTACTAAGTCTCATTACTAACATATAGTTGGTACTCAAAACGATGGTCAAGTCACAGAGGAAAAGTCTGAGTGTAGGACTGAAACATTTAGTCTCAAAAATCGCTGGCTTTGTGAGAGAAACTTGATATTGTTATAAATTATTTTGTTCATAAATTTATATTATGTACTGGTAGTCTTTTCATATGGCATCTATTTAAATAGTTCTGTGACTAAAACAAGTAAAGCACAGTTTAGGTAGTGTAGGGAATGGACAAAAATATTAATTACAGGTAAATCAGGACATTTTGAAAAAGAAACAGAAATATCAACTATATGGACTTTCTGGTACTTAATTAAATGCACAGTCATGGTTCCATAATACACTTGTGGGTTTTAAAACTATCTAGTCAAAATTTTTTTATGAATTATGCAAATCCCTGACTGATCAACATACCCACTTATTTAATCCATGATACTGCAGTTTAAATGGCAAGAAGTTTTCAGTAAGAGCTTCATTATGAATACTCCACTCCTCGTGATTACGGACTAAAAGCAGTGTACCAAGAAATAGTGTGTATTTCTATTTATTTATTCATTTATCTGTTTCAGTAGGGGGTAGCTGATTTTTAAAGATAATTACATATGAAGTCCTAGCAAGAGCTGGCTCCTACACTATTCTGGCTCCCTTGAAAATCTGGTGTTGGTGCAAGGTGAATGTTTCAAGTGAAATCAGCTACAATTTGTCTTGGGTTGCCCCTTTTCAAAATTACACAAATCCAGGGCATAGGTATTCCCTATCACATTTGAGAAAATGTACTAATGTTCTAAAATAGGTATTTGATGTACGTTAAATTGTATTTTCATGAGTTCAAAGAAAAACCAGCTAAAAATGCAGCTTGTGTTTGGAATTAATACATATCCTTACTCTGCCTCTTAAATTAATTGAACATTGATAAATTTAAGAATTTAGTCATGCCTATGTAACAAATAAATTGTTTTGTTTACATCTATTTGCCTACCCGTTGACAGCCTTGGAGATATTCTATTTATCTGTGATGATTTCACTGTGTGACGTTCCCTCAACAATAGGGGATGGAATGCTCGGCTATTGTACCAGTGTTACCGTGTTTGAACAGGTACACTATTTACCGAGACTGTAAATTGATCATCAACCTCACCCGAGTGTCCCTATCTGTCACCATTAGTCCGTAACGCGTGTATTTCAGTCACGAATCTCTTGCGAAATGTTTCGATAAATGAATGAATTATTTACATTTTTTCCCAAATACACAGGTAATAGACACAACATATCCTATGCCTATATTCTAATATGTACATATTAGAATATAGGCATAGGATATGTTGTGTCTATTACCTGTGCCCAAATAGATATAAAACAATACATTACCTGATTGAATGGCCGGACTCGGACGGCCACCTTTACGCTGTCGGAGTTTGACGGCATGTTGTAAGGTATATGCCTAGATGGTCCTTATGGAAAACGTTGAACACTTTCGATTTAGTCACTCATTTATCTTGAAGTCTGACTTATATCCCAGAAAAACCTCCCAGTGTGCCGAAATCTGTAAGAAAATTCGTTGTAATACCTGTCTCCATGTTTACTGCGCCTTGCTAGCTTGTGAACTGGCGAACTGTTAGCAGACGACAATGATAGTATAAATAAATGCACAGTACACAGTACTGCCACCCGAACAATACACGAGCCACGTGAGCACCGTGCGTACACCTTGAATTTACTTCCAGAAACAACGGAAGGGAAATAATCTGCTAGTCAATGGAGACTTACTTCCCAAAACAATGGGGGTGGAGTATTAATCTAGTGTGTCATAAATCGTTTGTACAACATTCTTATACAATTCAATTCAATTCAACTTTTAACAATACAATGTATAGAGAAACATATTTACAATATAATGTATATTAATTGTAGTGTTCGTAGTCGGTAGTGCCAGTAAGTCACCTTAATGAAGGAGGGCCGTGCAAACTTTATTTCACTACGCTCTGTGCAGTAATAAGCTATAAGTTAGCCAATTTTATCGTTGACATGAAATGTGATATCTTCATTATTTTGGACGCAGGAGTTAATTACCCTTCTTCTTCTGGAGTGTATTGGAATAGTAAAATCGGACAAATAAAACCTTCATACAATGAACAGCAACCAGATTGTACAAATAACACACGATAGTATACTAATATACACGTTACATAAAAAATCATAATTAGTATTGAAGATTTGATCAATTTCGATCGATCTCATATTAATTATTTAAAGCTGATTATTTTAAGGATGCTCAAAATTGTTACGCATGATTATTAACAGAGAATTGATGATTATTTATTTTTAATATATTTGAATTACTAGCATCATATAGTCATCAAATCATTGACATGACAATAATATAGGAGAAACTATTTTGACCGCTACACTTGGTCGAAATTTTCTGTGAATTTTACAGACACGCGCGGTTATGTAGATAACTATGTTTGTTTTTAAGTTCATGAACTTCCCGAAGGAGATACAATCATAATGAAACAGGTATTGATTGTGGAACTGACTCCCGTACCCGATATACAAGTCATTCATTAAGGTACCAAATATGTACATTACCTACCTGTAATTAGCGGGTATTCCAGGTATCCATTGTGTACAGCGATACCGGGTATCTTAAAACTATGGAGGAGAAAACCATGTACACCCATAACATTAGAAGTTAAAGGAATGTGCTGGTCCGAGAGGTCTTTAAAACAGTACATAAATCGCCCAGTGGATCACTGGTCCGAGGGGTCTATACAACAGTACATAAATCCCCTAGTGGATCACTGGTCCGAGCGGTCTATACAACAGTACATAAATTGCCTAGTGGATCACTGGTCCGAATGGTCTATAAAACAGCACATAAATTGCCTAGTGGATCACTGGTCCGAGCGGTCTATACAACAGTACTATACATAAATCGCCTAGTGGTTCACTGGTCCGAGAGGTCTATACAACAGTACTATACATAAATCGCCTAGTGGAGCACTGGTCCGAGGGGTCTATAAAAGAGTACATAAATCGCCTAGTTGATCACTGGTCCGAGAGGTCTATACAACAGTACATAAATCGCCTAGTGGATCACTGGTCCGAGAGGTCTATACAACAGTACTATACATAAATCGCCTAGTGGATCACTGGTCCGAGGGGTCTATAAAACAGTACATAAATCGCTTAGTGGATCACGCTCCATTGTTGTGGTATTAGGCTGGGCCGTTTCCCGTTATTGTGATATGACGAATTAAAGTCCGGTCAAATAACAATGCTTACTCGGGTGTTAGGTAGACCTGTCTGCTTCCCAACCAATACATTTACGTGTGTTTATGTAGCTTTAAAGCAGATCGGTTGCACAGCGGCAATTCTCAAAGAAATTTTACCTTTACGTCTAGAAGTACACCCAATTTCAATGTAATATCGTTGTCTGGCCTGTGGTGTTGGTGACGTAGTAAACACGTAACATCTAGTTACTCTGGTGTTAATAAAACGTACATGAAATGTTATACCACGGCACGTGCTTTAAAGTGTACCCTGAACGTTTTGCAGTATCACGTGAGGTGAAGATCGAAGTTGACTTTTATTGATCTGAGGGTATAACATCTCATTGAAGCGCTAAAACTGTCGGTTTAACAATGTACAGCCTTGCACCTTATATTTCCGAAACACACTAACCCAGTCTTTGCTATATCAGAGACGTTTAAAACTTTATTTGCCTTTAACATGTTATTATGAGAAAGAAAATCGTTTTCATTGCGACATTCAAATATCCCACCGCACCCCTTCAGTATAATTTATATTCTACAATAGAAGTAGCGCTCCAATAGTCCCACTTTATAATTGTGGTGTTCATGTAAGAACATTTAATCTTTAAGAAATGATAAACTATTCCACCTTTTATAAAACACCGAATACATTATACTCCGTGTTAACATTCCTATGAAAATACCGACGCGCAGATGGTCTTCGGAGTGGGTTGACTTTCGGGATCCTTTGAAGGATTCCCGGAATACATCCAGGTAACGGACCTGTAATACAATGGGAAAACGTGACCTGAACAATCTGTGTGTATCGTAAGTTTAAAGGTCAAGCCAAGAGCAAATTAACGACACGTACAAAACCTTTCCTTGTGGTATCAAGGTCTTTTCAGCTTAACGCAATATTGCGGTAGTTCAGAATTTATTTTGAATATAAACGTTTGAGTTGACAGGTTTGTAACCAACTAATGAGGTCATGGTGGGATAGACGATTCCGCAGACTTTACAAAGCGGCCAAAGGGGGAAATAGCGGTCAAAACAGGATGGACGATCACCGGACAGCCTTTATTACAGCATTTTTGGTACTTCGTTTGGTAAGACAATAGACGGTCATTGTTCGACAGATTTCTTCATGGCGGTTATGACGGCATGAACGCTCACTCGGCAGACTCGTGATGAAGTTGACACTCAATAAGCGGATTTATGACGGGGTCGTCGGATAGAGAAACTAGCGGTAATGTCGACGGAATGGACGAGCATTTGACAGGGACTAAAGGATTTTTCGGCTATATTACACTGGATAAACGACACTCCGCCAGGCTTGTGGTGAAATGAACGGCTCATTTGGTGGACTTGTGAATAATAAATCATAAAAAATGGACTACGCGATGAACGATAACACGGCTGACATAACTAACGGATTTGGCCGTATAGCGGTAATGACTGAACTGGTACATGTACATTCGACATACTTGATTAAAGCGTTCCTGACGTCATGGCGGGAATGGCGTTCATTCGACAGACTTAACATATAGTAACGGACTTAGTCTTATTCCGCGACATAAGCGTTTATGACTGACTGATGTACGTTATGGCAAGGAATTTATCTAAGTCCGTGGTTATTGTGAACACGACTGGATGAACGCTCACATAGCGCAACGATGACGAAACGGACGTCAACTCGATGGAATTAAAGATCACGAAGTTGCATATTGACGATTCAACGTCAAATTCGGCGAACTCGTACGAAAGGTATATCGGTCATGACGGAATAATGACTCTGGATATCAAAGCAAACATTGCAAAATATTAGCATTACAGGTGGTGTTGTGTTGCTAGTATTTTCCCTTTTAGATCACACCTCTCTTGTCCCAAGGATGCTTCATAGAAAATCTGGTTGAGATACCTACATATGTTTACACGTATATGTGGTTGGGATCCCAATCAATTCCATTAAAAATACACTGAACCACGTCCCGGGGTTCTAAATGGACCAGTGGAAAATTCTGGTATCATGATCAGTGTCTACAGTGGTAGTTATCTCTTCACATACAGTAATTGTTTGTGTCTCATGGGTTGTTATAACCCAGGGATTAAGTCCTCTGGGCGGAGCTAGAGCACAGAGCCAATCCTGATAGCACGATTGTTTGTTTCTTCATGCCCAGTAATTGTTCATGTGGCTATGGGTCGAGGACCTCAAATTCCCTTGTTATAAGACAGGGACTAAGTCATCAGGGTGGGGATTGGAGCATGGAGCAAATCCTTATAGCATGATTGTGTTTTTCTCTTCATGCCAAGTAATTGTTCATGTGGTTTATAGGATAAAGATTCTAGCTGTTTACTTGTTATGACCCAGAATTAGTCCCCAGGTGCTGGGCTGGGCTGGGCTGGGCCCATCATCGTACATGATTGTATCAATCTCCTTATGCTTAGTATTTGTAAAGATACACCAAGGGCCTCACAGATACTAGGGCTATTATGCAGTTCTATTACAGATAGCTACCCCAACAACAAAAAATCCTGTATACATCTTGAACACAAACGGCTCCAATAGAGTGCTAGGTTGATAAGTGTACAGGTTAAATTTCAATTTGTTATTTTTAAAAGTTTTGAGATCATGCTTGAGACACCTCAAATATAGTATTTTTGCCTTTTTCCATGGCAACAGAAAAAGAAGAAAAAATGTCCAAAATGAGAACTCCTCCAGTAGCAAATTGCACTAAGCGAGTGATAGCTTGTACAAAGTGTACAAAGTTTCAGGCAGTTCTTGAACAATTTTTTTGGCATGATCTGGAAACCGTAAAATTTGTAATTTTGCCTAACTTGAGTGATAGGATGATAAGTGGACAACGTTTCAGGTACATGTAGTTATCTTGAAAGGTTTTGACATTTTACTTCAGAAACAGCAAAATTTGTAGTTTTGCCCATCTGTTTCTATGGTAACTATTTTTTTTAATGAAAAAGGGAACTCCTCCATAACAATAGCACTACCAGAATGCTAGCTTGATAGTTATATAAAGTTTCAGGTAGTTATCTTGAACGGTTTTGGAGTCATAATCCATACAACTGAAATTTGTAATTTGGCCCATCTGTTTCAATGGTAACAGAAAAAGTATTTAAATGGGGAACTTCTCCATAGCAAAAGGTACTACTAGAGTATTAGCTTGATAGCTGTACAAAATTTTTAATAGTTGTCTTGAACGGTTTCAGAGTTCTGGTCCAGAAAAAAAACCTTGCACGAACGGAGCCCAATCAAATATCCCCAGCAAACGTGTTCCGTGCGGGATATTTAAACATACATACTTTTACTTTTCAATACGTTTCTGATTTTACTTAGTTTTAATTCATAGGGTGTGCTTCTTCCCCCTGAAATATTTCCTATACAGTGAGTGCTTACCAGCAAATAAACATTTTTGTTACATTTAAATACAGTTGTGTAACTTGGGTAAAACTTCTTTTAGTAAGACAATTTGGAATCCTTCACTCATTATGCATTACAGCTGTATTTGTCAATGCGCTTATAATTATGAAGGTTTAAATGTGACCTACTGTGACCTTGGATCACAGAATTGTCCTACACACAGTTTGCTACAAATAAATAATATACACAATTTTTTTACTTTCATTAGAATATCCTCAAAAGTCGAAAGTCCAGAACAAACTGACAGTGGTTTTAACCCGACATAAATTTGTGACACTGGAAACACCTTATTTACTGACAACAAAGTTTTTATTCATTATCATTTTCAACATACAATAAACTTTCACTCATACTTCCTTTCATATTTGATGATTTTCACACATAGAATCCCTTTTTCAAAATTGTAAATTTCCACTTGAATATTTAAACATAGCACTACAGATATCCAAAATGTCCCAGACATGGTTCTTGTGGTCCTGGGAAGTTCTGATGAGATCCTACGGCCGTACAGACATTAGAGATACAGCCCCTCTGGAGTGCCCTCGTTTTTCCTGTACAGCACATTCTCCTTTGCCTTTGAGAAGTCTTCGTTCCTCACCTTCATTCTCCTCTCTCTCAGTGCTAACAAGCCAGCTTCTGTACATATAGCCTGTACAAAGTTAAAAGTGTCAATAAAACATATATTACTTGCTTCATGACAGATTTACGAATATTGTGTACGAAAATATGGATTTTTAATAGTTTGCATGAATGTGCTAAAGACAACGTTGAAAACACTCTTATTAAAGTTAACATAATAAAATTCATCTCAACAGTAAAGACGGTAGTTTCATACAAACATAACTATGATACCATAATTCAATAGCACACTATGGGTGTTACAAGTAAATACCCATTAGGGGTTGGTTTTGATAAGGAAGTTACCTGTCAAAATAGGAAACTCTTTATCACTGCCATGTACATTGCATACAAAGTGAAAGAATGAAATCTTTCAGTATCCTTCTAATGTGACGACAATTTATCGTTTTGTAACATATTCTCATGCTCTACCTTGTTATCGTTTGGTTTTCTAATGACTGTATTTCCCCTTGGAAACTTATTGTTTAGTTTGTTCATATCAGATGTGTGCTGACTGTGCTGAGTCAGTTTCAGAAGACTTACTCAGTTTTACACTGCCTTTTCAGGTGTAAATAAAGACAATGTTGGTTAAATCATTTTACTGTTTTGTGATTTGATTTCCTGATTGCAACTGTACCCTGCCAGTAATGACTCATAGCAAGAAGACTACAACAATGATCTGTGAGAGTCCTACTCCTAGTTACTGGAACTTATGACTGACATGTGATGATTAATTATATTGTCTTACATTAATAAAGTACCAGTTAATACAAAGAAAATACATGGATACTTTCATCAAAGAAACTTAGTCACAGAAAATAAATTCTATCTTTGCTCTAATGATATAGATCCCTCTTTATAGAAAATTGAATTAGACAAATGAATTTAGTCAACAGGTACATGTTGCATTTTAAATTTCGAGTTCATCGACCAACATTCTGTACCCATGACAGCCCTATAGCATACCTCACAAAAGCAGCTGAAATTGGCAGTACTTTGTGACATTTATCTCACCTTGATGTCTGCCCCAGAGAGGTCATCTTTAGCCATGACATAGTCATCAATGTTGACATTGTCTGCAAGGGTCATTCTACTTGTGTGGATATTAAATATTCTCCTTTTCGTCTTCTCATCAGGCAATGGGAACTCAATTTTTCTGTCGATTCGGCCGGGTCGGATCAAGGCAGGATCCAGAGTCTCAATCCTGTTTGTAGCCATTACGACCTTCAAAACAACACCGAATGTTAGTCAGACACAGTAAATAAATCAAGTAACAAGCCAAGACAAAGACCACAGCCACCTACGATTGATAAATTGGCAAATATATTTCCTCACCTTGACATCTCCCCGGGAGTCAAAGCCATCCAGCTGATTCAACAACTCCAACATGGTCCTCTGGATCTCCCTCTCACCCCCAGAATTAGAATCGTACCTAAAACCAAAAATAACATTTTCTGAGATAACAATAGCATTAATATTTCGGACACTTACTCCTACACTCACTGGCAAAGAAGTTGCTGTTAATGACTGATTTGTGTCGACATCATCTTCAAAAATGTCTTTCATTAGGTATATCTCTTACAAGGATAAATTTTAGTATTTATTTATTGAGTTCTTAACGACCGATCAATACAGAAGAGGTCTTTAGGGCCAATAAAAGGTATATTTCTAGTAACAAATCTCAAAGTACTTCTAATACCTCAAACACGTTTTTCTATTAATAGATCCTTGACATCATGTCAGTCAGACTTAATAATTTTCTAAAATCAATCTGGTGTACAAATTACTCAAACATATTCCTTTTAATGGGTACAAAGCTATCAGCAGTGCTGCTTGCAACAAGGGGAATAACTCTTACTATCAAAACTACAAAACCTAAAAAAAATTCATCAAGTGAAGGATAATGGCTGGCAACAATGCTGATATGAGACTTCAGCATTAGATATTGAAGTACAATTGTGAGGGAACCCACCTTTTTGTTCCCACAGCATCAATTTCATCTATAAATACAATAGATGGAGCATGTTCTTCTGCAACTCTGAACAGTTCCCGTACAAGTTTTGGGCCATCACCCTAAAAATATCAATATAAAAGATGTTTTAGTTTCATCAAACTATATATTCAATCATAAACAAAAACCAACAAAAAATATCATAGCAATATTCAAATAAAACATAGGTTAAAAATGTTGGAAATATATTAAAACTTACCAGATATTTTTGGATAAGTTCTGAGCCAACCACTCTGAGGAAGGTAGCTGAGGTCTGATTGGCCACTGCCTTTGCGAGTAATGTCTTACCTGCCAGATAAAAAACGATGTCACAGCATTAATACAGATTGTTGGTATCACTCTAACTTCAGTTCAGTAATAAGTGACTACTATAACTTAATGAGCATCTGTCCTTAACACCCTCATGGTGTTAATAGATGTTATCGCGACCATCCACGAGTTACTCCCCTTCGAAGAGTTCTTGCCGGAAAATGTACAAGTCTTGCGAGAGAATGCGAGGATACGGGGGCAAAACAATCTGCCATGTGTAAACAATATGTCCCACCTTCACTGTATTGAACCAACAAAATAACTCACAAGAATAGAGGTCATATCAAATGCATTTAGTAATGACATTCCAATCAAATTGTTCGTTTAAAACAAGCCTTCTGACATTTCATTTGCATAAAGTTAACACACGATACTCTGTACGCCACTGACGGTCCTTCACAACTGTGACGCTTTAGCTTCTTCCTCTTGTTCAATATCTGGCCCATTAAACATGTCTGCTTGCTATCATAGGTGTACTAGCTCCCCATTATTCTTATATGGAGTAGGTGATACCTTTTGACTTTAAAATATTACCCAATTCATTACATGGAAGTTTGTGGAAATTTGTATCTGAATGTTTTGGCGCTGCCATGTTGTTTATATATCCGTTGCCCCAGCAAGTACAGTTAAATCCCCTCCTATTTGAAGAGTTCCACTGGTTGCGATATCATCTATTGACATGTTGTTATTCAGCACTTGCCTGGTACTCTGTCTAATCAACTGACAACGACAGTCAATACTGAAGATTTAGCCTGATTTTCCTGAACCCAGTTGTTTAAACATTTCTCTGTCAATACATACAAACTTCAATATATATACCAAACTTTTGGTTTCTTGGTTTTTTGACATATTAATACATAAATAATTTTTCACATTTCTTGGTTTATATCATTATACTTAGAACATTACTGAGACAGAGTTTTTTTGGCATGTTTGGTTAGACTTACCAGTGCCTGGGGGACCATACAATATAACACCTTTTGGAGGTTTGATACCCATCTCCTCATAGTACTCTGGATGTGTTAGAGGCAGTTCCACAGATTCCTACATGTCAATAGAACATGAATAATGAAAGTTAAACTTTCCAACAAAGTATGTTAAAATATCAGAGCCACTTAAGGCAGATCAATGGCACCAACAGATATACAGCACTACAAACTGATAGACTGTAAACTAATCATATTCGTACAATCCAGATTCGGGGCACAAAGAACTGTACTCAACAAAATTACACAATCATAATTAAGCATGTTCATCAACACATCTGAAGAAAATATTTTCAAATCTCTGGTACTCAACTGCACATGTGTATTGTAAACATACACTCATATGTCAGTGCATTATCAAATATTAACAGGTAGCTAGCACATTGATGAACTGGCATATACACACAATAATACTGTAATTGTAATTTGAACAATTATAATTTGGCACAATATTTCAATCATAAATAGTGATAAAATAATATTATCACTAATATATGAGTTTACAGTAACCTTACACAAACAATGTACAGTTATTACTGTTTGAATTAATTCAATTTTTGTTAATTTGATATGAAAATGAACGAGACTAAACCTATTAAATGGTTGGAGATACACAATATGTATCAGTGTACCGTATATAAGCCATGAATGCACCTAAGTTTCGAAGGTTTTTTTTCAATGTGAGGACTTTCCCTTTTAGATATCATTTGATTTTTTAGAGTCAACACAAAAAGAGGCAGTGGAGAGGTGGCCAAGGACCCTCATTTATAAACCCCACGACCAATGAATGTTAAGTGCAAGCCTGCCCCCACCTCCTGGAATAGCCTTTACCTAGACCACATTATTCCGTCTTTGCATATTGCAGAGTTATCTTCTCTTGAGAGCAGGTATTGATTGTTACGTCACTTGTTTGTGAGAGTAATGTCATCAATTTTTGAGAAAACGATGTAATTTTCTCGCACAAACCAATGACTTACAATCAATACCTGTTCCCAAGAGAAGATAACTCTGCAATACGCAAAGACGGAATACATGTGATGTCAGCATACAAACCTTGATTTCTTGAATTTGCTGGTCCAGACCACCAATATCAGCGTATGTTTCTTGTGGAGCCTTCTCCAGCTTCATTACTGTGACCATGGGGTCCACATCATCTGACAGTACACCCACAACAGCATGCACCTGTTCAAATTACATATACATTCATGAGTAGAATGAACATCAGACACTACAAAACAAAGGCTGTGTCAACCTTGTTTCTGACATATCATGGACCTTTTAAAAGTTTCCAAATATTCTTTTCCATTCTTATTGATATCTACTCTGTTATATTACAACCAAATATTATTCTAATAACAAAAGTTTTTGTTTAAATCAAACATGATAAATAGATAAAGATTGGAAAATATGTTCCACTAAAGCTTACCTATACCTAAATTCTGAACTCCCATAACTTTGCTTACATCCATTAAAATTACTTTACTAAGACATGGGTTTAACAATTTCCAGGGGATAAAGACTTGTTTTATAAAGTTTAATTTGAACAAGACAAATCCTTGCCAAGTGGTCACAAAATATAGCCATGCAAGAAGTATGACGTCCTCATAAGTATGTTTGTCATAAACACATTTTACTAACAGACTATTACGCTAAACCTAAACCAAGTTCCACTTTGTACTGACCTTATGGTTGAGGAGTACAGAGCATCCAGGCTCCAACTGGTCCTTGTCCACAAACGACAGTATACTGACGTAGTGCTCACTTCCCACGGATGTTGACACGATGGCGTGGTTGTCATCAATTATTTCTTCTAGGTTACCAACAGACATTGGCGAGCCACGCAGCTCATCTACCTTGGTCCTTTCCTCCTGTCAACGAGATAAAATGTTTTACTATTATGAAGTTTCAACAAAATGAAAAGTTTTTGGTATTGAAAAAACAACGAAATAATAAGCTCCTTATATCCATTAATCCAAGGCAACAGTAAATATTTCTTTATATATATTTACACTTCAGATGGTAGTAAACTCAAAACTGCTATTAAATTCAATACTGCACAAATTCGTTTTGGTCATCCTGTATATAAAGGGTATATCCGAAACCATCCAGAGGATATATTGTGGTCATGGCATAGCAACAGCCATGAAGCCCCACAAGATGCTTTGCAATATCCTAGTACATCCTAAGGATAAAACACCTAAAGAAAACTTGGCAGAATGCGTATACAAAATCGGATGCAAAAACTGTGACCTTCGTAAATTGGAAAGACTGGAAGGCAATTTGGGGTCCGCCTTGGTGAACACTGGAAAGACACAGAAACCCAAGAAGGTAGGAAATTCACCAGATCAGAAAGGAAGCAGTGGGAGTCTCAGATTATGATAAATAAATTGGCAATCACAGACCATGCCACACAGAAAAATCATGTGATTGACTGGGATAACTCCGAAGTTTTGGACAGAGAGAGCAATCTGTTCAAGCGGCAGATAAAGGAAGCCATCTGGATACGCCGCAGTGGGCCAGTTCTAAATTGAGACGAGGGGGCTCAAAGACTCGCATATCTACGACCAAGTATTAAACAAAGCGTAGCTGAATAGAGTAATTTTGGTACATATATAACAACTATTATACACACACTTACAGCGTAGCCGAATCAACATCAATTTTTGAGGACAACTCGTTCACATTTTATACCTTTGTGTGCATACGCTTCACTGGTCGTTTGTCTGATGAAGGTGACAGTGTACATATCGTACTAGTCATCGAAATGTCACATAGAACATTATATTTGTTGTGTAAAAAGAACTTTCCATAATGCACAAATTAGTATTTTTCAAGTGAATGTGAAATTAACATTCAAAATCACAGATACCCAAGTACATATATAAAGTAAACTTGATGTAAATGTAGAGATGACTTTGACCAATAAAAGTCTAAACTGTCAAACAGAACAGACATCCAGCATTGATCACTAGTTGTCATGTATTTGTTACTTCTATTCTCTAAATGTTCTATAAATGTTCTAAACAACCCACAGCTCTTTACCTCATGTTTCTCTTCTTGTGGCTTCAGTCTCTCCTGGTTCTTGATGAATTCTTCCTCCAGTAATAAATAGTCTTTGATTCTCTCCATCTTTAACAACTTCAGTCGACATCTTGTATGTGGTGTGACTGTCAAACAAAAAAGCAGTTTCAGAGTTCAATATCTTTCTGGTATTGTCATAACATAGGCCCGACTAGATGGGTCAGGGTAACGGATACCAACGATTAATCTCCAATAGAAACAACTCCTAAAACTGACAATGACACACTATTATTATTATGACAAAACGAGGATAAAAATAGCGTTGTCTTCTATGATAAGATTTTCCATATGACGAATGTAGAAATTATCATAATTACATGACCAGCATGCAATGAAAAATACATAAATTTCAAAAAGTCAAGTTATTATGAAAGGATTCCATAAACATGTTAATATATCATGATACATATTTAGAAGTCCGATACCATTTTAATCTTCAAATAAATATATATCAAATTTATGTCATATATGTGCTATTCATATATCTATATAGAAGCTAGCTGCAGAAACCATAGCTCAAGGTCAGATCAGTTTTGGATATCAGACCATAGTTCTTTGGTACAATATCTAAAATTTCAAGATAAAAAAATAGTTTATCTGACCTCGACTTAAGCTAAGGTTCCTGCAGCTATATAAAAGCCTTCTCACAACGCCATTTAATGTTTTACTTTTATGTTGCATTTGTATGTTACAATTTTTTATAAGTTGTTATGAATGGAAAGATAATTGATGACCAACTTTTCGGGAGCTTGCTGGCGGTGTCTGGACCCTTCATCTTTTTCTTCTTCTTGCCAACACGTGTCGGCACTGGGGGTTCATACTTCTTCTTTTTCTCCTGTAAAGAAAGTGGTGAGCATACATATATTCTGATTATATCTTTTACTTAAGACACCATGAATTGACATGCAGTCAGAATGTTTAACAAACTAAAAGTGGAAATGTTTAAATGATGTTACACCACTGATATTTATAGACCTTAAAAAACTCTATCATAGTTAATTTAAACATTAAAGCTGGATAAATTAAGGTAATTTTCAGTAAAACTGCTTATTTCCAAAAAATATTAACTGCAGCAATTTCGTTTTTTAATAAAATTGATATGATGATGATTCTTTTGCTGATTTTATTTTATTTTTTATGTATTTCAACTTTTCAACTTATATCTGTGAAACTGTTTCTTTCACTGCTTATTTTTATGAAAAACATGCTGTCAGATAATAAAATTGGTTTGTATTCATAAAACCTTATCTAGATTATTCTTGAATCATTATGTACAGTTTAAAAGCCTTTTGGCCATTTAATCTGATGTGGTAAGCCTCCTTAAAACAAACCTTGTCATCTTTTTTCTCCCCTTGGCCTCCAGCCCCGCCGGACTGTTGTTGCCCCTGAAACAGGAAAATTCAAATTTCAACTCTAGCATTCCTGACCTCTTTTATAAAAAGGCAACAATTGCAATATATATTTTTCCTCATAACAGAGTTGTCTGCAAAACCTAAACTAGATCAATTAAATATGATGCATTTGATGTAGGTTTACCAAACATGATCATGAGATCTTATATTCATCATGATGGCCATAGACAGGATAAAGTCTATGCATTATTGTATAACCAACTGATTTTTAAATCTACTCTCAACATTTATCAGGAGTGAATAATAGTATAGTAATAGCTTGCAGGCCTATAAGTAGAATAATTCAACAAGCCTTTTAATTGTAAACACTGAAAAATTTCACCAGGCTAATGATTAATCTACTAGCCCAGGGCACCTAGCTAGTACAATAGTACATCACTGTGTACAGTTTATGCAACTTACAGCGAGTATAAATATGGAACTAAAATATTGGAGGTACATGCATGCATAAGGAAATAAAAAGCTAATGGCATAATTTGCACTTCAAATTTTTTGTTGTTAATTTAATGTAGTTTTATGTGTTAATTCATGTTATATCTCAAGATTATTAAAAAAATAAATAAAACATTGTCTGTTTTGCTCCATTTTTATGCATGCATATTTTTTACAAATGAAAACATTCAGGTAGGATAAACTGAAAGCTAAGGACACAGAGATAGAACAACACTTTCTGACTTTACAGATGTCTTTAGATAAATAAATTACTACATTCACAGCAAGCATACTGTTTTATTACTTTTTTCAAATAAGCCATGAACAGGCAAACTGGTGATAAATAACTTTCTGTTGAAAGACCATATCGATATAAAGGCTAGTTTTTCCATGAAGTACACCCGTACATTATGTATGCATGGTAATTTTCAGGCCAGTATATGTTTATATTTCACATCTAGGCGATTAAAGTACTTTTTCAAATCCATTTGCTCAAAAGACCAGCACTTTTGAAAACTACCCTGTGGGTTAATTTTTGTGGCAGATAAATTTTAGAACCCAATGACATATTTGTTGTGGTAAACAATCAGGAGTGAAAAAAAGGGAAAGAACATTTTATTCTCAACTGTATTTCTGAAGTGCAAAATCAATCTTTTGAAAATCAATGGACTAGAAAGCAGGATAATTTTCATATAGCATGTTCTAAATAACTGCTTAAATATTATTTGAAATATAAGATTTCCTATTCCGCAGATGTATGAGTCCGGCTTATAAGTTGATATCATCGCTACGGTATAACTGAATGGGGCATAGTGGATAGAGCTAGCAAGATCAGGTCGGGGAAAACCACTAACTTGCTTATAATACACAAACTCGCCTATTATATGCCAATTGGGGTATGGATTTGTTACTTAAAATAGCCAAAATCACTTAAGCTTAACTTTTTCAATTTTTTGGTCCAAGTCGCATTTATTTAGTCATGAAACATCATACAAATGCAAAAATAAACTATATTTGCATGTGGGAAAGTACCAAAAATAGATGCAATACTTCCAGTAGAGTTATATCAAGTTTCTAAGTAGTCAACGCTTTCAGTTAACATCTTTTGGCAAAATATTATTTACAAAAGTTACTCGGGTATTATTAGTAACAAATCCATACGCCAACTGGCAAGTTGGTGGTTTTCCCCAATCTGAAAATATTGATGGAACATATGAACATTGACGACTTAACAATACAGTGAACAAACATGAAAGCAACATGTGCTATCAGTCGATATATATACTGTACTGTATGGTATAAGTTGTTTTTTTGATTTTAAGGTTCTATGGCATAGCCAATTAAATTTATTTGGCTGCATTCAAAACATTTACTACACCAGATTACATATATGACTTGAATCAATCAAAATATTGGTCTGATATTGGGAGCCCGCCCAGCCAGCTTAATTTTTTATACAATATAACCATCATCACATATGAAAGACTTCTCTTATTGTATGGTGAAGAGCTCAATCAAGGTATCGATATAACAGGAAAAAGGAACTCGGACAAGTTTCCCTCGAATTCATTCAGACATTTTAACGCGTTTAAAATATTTCCATTGTCAAAGTATAATTTATACCGGAAAAATAATAACAGCGTTAGTATTATTTTTCAATTCTGTTCCTGACGAAAGAGGGGGGGGGGGGGTCTTCAAAACAGCAAGTCATTGTACAATGTAGATCAAATTAACATACTTCAGAACGAAGAATGCTGGGAGGATCGACCTCTAATTTAAAGCGATAACCGGTCATTGCTACACATTTATAGAGTATTTCTGAACTCCTGCTTATCGAAAATGTTTCTAAAATCAACTAATTGTTATCGTACACGAACACCACCACTCTTACCATTTTGTTACCGGAACGGAATCACAAGCATGCGCATTTCGTCAGAATGGTATCAGAATTGTCTCCCTTTGGTGTCATTTCCTGAAATAACAATCACCGCCTCATCTCGATTGCATCTGACGAGAGAACTACACTGTCTTCGAAGGGGACTTGTCGTTCCAAAAAGTACTGAGGATTATATGTTAAGCTTTTAACTCACCAGTTTAAATTAGTTTGTTTTCAAATTATATCCCCGTTGAGTTTATAAAAAGCGAAGCATTGATACAAAGTTGTACCGAATCTGACCAGAGTGACAAGAGATTGACGTTGTCAGAAGGCCTACATATCGCGCTCCTGGATAGTAATGCGCGTACTGTTAATAATATCCCAGGGATACGGCTGGACCCTGGGACCAATCGTAGTAGCCAGAATCTTAATGCTCAACGTAGAACAAAAAATTCAATATAGCTAACAGTTAGGTTCAATGTCGTCCCACAGCTACTTGTGTAAAAGATGTGCTTGGTCAGGTTGCCTTACAAGCGTCAGCTGTAGGAATCGGGCTGGAGCTCCAAGGGTCGCGGGTTCAACCCCCAGCGACAGCACTATCTTTATCATTATTCCTCCTCCTATTACAAATTGGTGCTGTTGACCCTCCTGTTCAAGTTATGAGAACTCTAGGTGAGGAGTCAATTAAAGACCCTGGGCTGGTGTTTGAAAAAAAGGGGGAATAGTGTAAAAGATGTGGATGAATTACAAACGTCAGCTGTAGGGAATTTCACTTTAGCGCAGCGGTAGAGCATCGGGCTGGAGAGCCAATGGTCGCGGGTTCGAGGACCAGCGACGGAACTTCCTTTATTACTATTCCTTGTCCTATTACACTTGTATCTTCTGTCCAACACACCAATAATGACAGACAAGGCAAGTACCTGTGGTCGACCCAGAGATTTGAAGTCGGGGTCGGGACAAACCCTGAGCCAATTCTCGTAACATGTTTTTGTTTGTCCATTTATGCAGAGCAATTGTTTATCTGGTAATATTAGAGAGGGGATCTGAACTGTTTCCATTGGATGACCTAGGATTATGCCCCATAGGTATAGGATCATACCTTGAGGCCAATCCTGGTAGCATATATGTATTCCAAACATTTCATACACAGTAATGTGTCTTTTTTTTTTAATTCTTTACGTCCTATTAACAGCTATGGTCATATATTTAAGGGAGAGCAAGCTAGGTTGAGGTTGAGTTCTTGGATAAAAAACATTAACCTGTGGCCAGTACCTTGCGACCCAGTGGTGGAAGGCTAGTGAACTTATATGGTCAGTTGCCAGGATTATGCCTTAACCACTAGGCCCCAGCAGCCCCAGTAATGTTTATGGCTAAAGGATGGGTGTTTCTGTGTTCAAGCTGACAGCTGTGACCAAAGGACTAAGTCCCTAGGGATGTTGCCAGACCCTATAGTCTATTCCGATATCATGAGTTTGTTCCTGTCTTTATATGCCCAACACTTTTATATTTAGCTATTGGGTGGGTTTCTCAACCATTTCAAAATATGACCCAGGGCAACTAAGGTCTGCAGGAGCGAGTCAAGACCTTTGCTCATCCTGGTAGTATATTTATGTGTGTTTTTCATTTTTATCAGCTTTTGTAAATATATACTGTTGTAGTAGAGTGGGGATCTTGACCATTTCCCAGTTATGACCTCTTTTTAGCCCAGCCTCTATGCTCAACCGGGGGTCAGCCTTTTTGTATGTGCAATCTAGTTTAAAATTTTCAATGTTTTCTTATTAGAGTTACTTCAAGTAAACTGACATGTCTATGATATTGTATATTTAACAGACACATCAGAGTAGTACTCACTTGGAATGTCTCCTCAACCAGAGCCAGATGGTGAGACCGACAAGGGGCCCCCCTCAGATGAGGATGAAGAGGGAGTGGATAGCATCCCTACTCCCCAGTTTGTCATTGACAATGCTAACTCTGATTCAGAGAGTGAGAATGAAGATGGGGATAGTTACTATGGATATCAGATGTTACCCCAGGAACCTGAGGAAATATCTGGTGATACAATGGGCACCAGTGTGACAAGCACTGATGACCTCAGCCAGTCCAGTCAGAGCAGTGAAAGCTCGACTGAGGCAGGTGCTGAAGGCCAGAACACAGCTGACTGTGATAAAGACAAATCAGAACATTTAAATAAGCTTGATCACTCTGTGCTGCATCAGTCCACTGGTGGACAGGAAACAGGCTATATGAAGGTACATTGTACTACATAATTTAAAAAAAACACCTTGTAAACTGACTATGTTTCTAACTTTGGAGTTATGGCCCTTCATGAAGCTTTAATTGATGCACGGGAAACCTTATAAGCACAATTTCTCCTTAGCTATATGTTGGATTATTTTGTACCTTTGCACAGTGAAAGCACATTATATATACATGTGCATGAAGAAAGGAATTCAAGATTTGACTATATTTCCTGGAGCTATGGCCCTTGAAGCTTTAATCTCTGCTCCTGAAACCTTGAAAACACATCACCTCCTTAGCTGTTTGTTGTATTTTTTTTTGTATTTTAGCACAGTGAAAGTACATCATATGTAGATGTGCTTGAAGAAAGATCGAATTTGTGATTCAAATTTGGTATTATACTCCTGGCAAACAAAGTTTTCAATACCAAGATAAAATGAAGCTGGGAGTATTGTTTTTGTTCAAGCTCGCTGATGAGCTTGCACATATGGTTGATCTAGTTTCATGGTGCATCATGTCAGTTGTTTTATCCAGTGGATGGCTACAAATAATAATAAGAATAGCCCTCACTTTGTCAACTGTATTTAACGTTGTGAATTTATTTCTTAAAGACTGAATCCCTTACACAATTTTCTCTACTTGTTTTAACGTATTATCAAATTTTAACAAGTTTGCTCATTAATAGATGGACATATCCACCATATATATATATGCAATAGAAAAACTTAAATACAGAGACTGCAATTACCTTGTTGCAAAATCATAATTTAGCTCAGCATTTTGAATAAAAAAATGCTCAAATAATATAACCACTAAGTTGTATATGTTTTCTGTACATATTTGTTCGTACTCACCCAGGCCAAACAATATTGTAGCCAAATAATGTGACATGTAGTTATCTTTGAGTTTGATAAAAGTCTGTGACACTAGTAGTCTAATCTGCTCAAGCGACCATCTGTTTAAACGACCATCTGTTTTATGTGACCACTTTCCATTCCTCCTGACAGTTTTTACTATATAATTCAACTGTATTAAGCAACCATCTGTCTAGCGCAACCAGTGCCCACCCAATACTGACGTCAAAATTATGTTAACTACCACATTTGATTCATTTTAGCGACCAAGTTTGACAAAAATATACCAAATGGTCGTAGAAATAGTTGTGCAACTCCAAATTTGCGACCGTCACCACATTTGAAGAAGGACTAATTTCACGATCTTTTCACCAAGTTCAGTGAACAAATCTGTACTGGCTTTGTTTTTTTGTACCAAAGTACTTGTATATAGACTTTTGTTTTGTAATGCATACAGGTATCCTTTGATAAAATAATAGTTTTAGGTTAACTGACTTTCTGTATAGCGTACAGGTACCACTTTTGAAAAGAAATTGACCTTACTGGCTTTATTTATACATACAAGTAATATGCTTATTTCATTTCACAGCTACCAGATTTGCCAAAACCTGAATCTAAAGATTTGTTATGGAACAAACAGAGAACATCCCCCATCCAAATGGAATCAGGTAAGAATATGGAGTTAAAACACATGCCAAATATACAAGAGTCAAAGCTAATTTTGGGACACAAAAACATAATTAAGGGGCTACTGAAACTCAGCCGTCAGATAACATATAACATGTATAGGTGGCCATTTTTGGCAGGATTGCAACGCAATCAATGCTTATAGATTCCTGTCCGTCCTTCTGTCCGTCTGTCTGCTCTAAGGTTAAGAAGAATGGTTAAGCTCAGTTTCCAAGTTATTGATTATCCCACATCAACTAAAAAATGGCTTATGTATCTAAGGATGCTTACTACATGCGATGCTTCAGATGCTGTTTCTGACCTACATTTTCCGCTTGACTGTCGAGGTAAAGAAGACTTGTTGAGGTCAGGCCCCATCTGCACTATGGTTAAGAAGATTGGTTTAGGTCACTTATCAAGTAACTACTGTCCTACATCAACTAAACTTGCATGGCTTTAAGGATGCTTATCACATGCGATGCTTCTTAATCTGATGCTGGTTCTTACCTTCATTTTCTGCTTCAGTGACCAGGTTAAGAAGTTTGGTTAAGGTCAGTTACGAAGTAACTACTTGTTGCACTCTCAGTGCATTGAATCCCCTCGACTCATTGATACTTTAAACTTTATTTAATTAAAATCATTTCACATGTACTGAATTGGTCTTTTTAAAAGTGTTACCTCTATTTCCCCTTTTGGCCTTTTTTACCCTTTTTGCAGTAATAGTTCAGACTAAAGTTTATTCATAATAATAATATACATGTACAAAATTTTATATAGCGCCCTATCAAGCTAAACTAAGCCACTCTAAAGCGTTTTACAGTACATAGATATACAATTTATACAGTCAATACAATTAGCATATAAACATTAATCAATAAAATGTTTGAGGAATTTGTAGGAATCCCAATCTGTATTGATCATCTTAAAAGAATGATATATTTTTTTAAATCCTCTCTTGCCCCACCCTTCATTTATTTAACATTGAGTGTGAGATCCCTTGGCCAAGTGATGCTTCAGACCAAAATGGGTTAAAGTCTTATAAACAGTTCAAGTGGAGTAGGCTTTCAGTGGAAAAAAAGATGTCATGCAGTGGCATAAGCTTACATGGCCCTTAGGACCAGGTTGCAATGTACATCATTAACTCACCATTTTCAACGTCATACCATCAGTCTATGACTACTATTGAGGCATCACATCTACTGGTGTAACTGGTACACATCCCCGGTCTGTACCTCCCAATCTGTAGTATACAGGGCTAAATTTGCCTGTGTGTTCCTTCCATATTAGTCCACTTTTAAGATTACAAGTGTGAGATTAATACCAGGTGAGCGATGCAGGCCCATTGGGCCTCTTGTTTGTTGTATCCTCTAAAGAGTTACATCCGTCCGGTGTCAACTTTTTACATTAAACAACTTCTTCTCAATAACCAAGAGGCCCAGGCTGATGATATTTGGCCAGTAGCATGCTGGGATGAAGGGCTGCCAAGTTTGTTCAAATGAATAACCTTGACCCACTTCCAAGGTCACAGGGGTTAAATGTCTTAAAATCTTCAAACGACTACTTCTCAATAACCTAAAGGCCCAGAGTACTGATATTGGGCCTGTAGCATGCTGGGATGAAGGGCTACCAGGTTTGTTCGAATAAATGACCTTGACCAACTTTAAAGGTCACATGGGGTAAAATGTCTTCAAATCTTCAAACAACTTCTTCTCCATAACCAAAAGGCCGAGGGTACTGATATTGGGCCTGTAGCATGCTGGGATGAAGGGCTACCAAGTTTGTTCAAATTCATGACCTTGACCCACTTTCAAGGTCATAGCGGTAAAATGTCGTAAAATCTTCAAACAACTTCTTCTCAATAACCAAAAGGCCAAGGGCGCTGAAATTGGGCCTGTAGCATGCTGGGATAAAGGGCTACCAAGTTTGTTCAAATGAATGACTTTGACCAACTTTCAACCTAATGTCCTTATTTGACATTCGAGGTCACAGGCATCATATGTTTAAATCTTTTAATAGGTTCTTATGAATCAAACACTGATATTCTGCCTGTAGCTGTTATTTAGTCCACTATTAAGATTACAAGTGTGAGATTAATACCAGGTGAGCGATGCAGGCCCATTGGGCCTCTTGTTTTTTTTGATAGAAATGCCTATGAATGTTTTTAATATCAACTTTTCATGTTGAATCTGCCCTATGTAAAATGGGGAAAATAGAATGAGGTGACACATTTCATACCTTACGGTATATGTCTATTCATTTCCTTTACAAGTTCTCATAATGAAAGTAGAACTACGGTGTATTATATTTACAGGACAAGCAGAGAAAGTGAAGACTGCCATGTCCAACATCCTCCTACCCACACCCAACATTCCAGACTGGGCCAAGAATATCTCCGAGGAGGACTGGCACATCAAACTCTTATCTCTACGGAAAAACAATACGTCCTGATTCTTCACTGATCAACAAAGACTGGTTGTTGCACTACTGTGTATGGTTAAGCTTCACTCAGTGTGGGTTCTTATTTAGTTACAACTCCTTTGTTTCACTCTCAGAACTCCATGAATGACTCAACAAACCTGACAATACTTTTCAAGAAATTATCTGACAGATATTTTATGTGGTGTTTATTCTGTGTAACTGTCATGAAATTATTATAATTGATGACAGATATCAGATATTGGGTTAGTGTGACGATAACAGGAGTATTTCTATGGTTTTTTTTATCATCGGTACAACATTAATGTGAATTTCTTACCAATAAAGGAAAAGAAGTAAGGCTGTTTTCATTATTGAGAAAATTCAAAACAATATTTTCTGTCTAAAACGTTATATTTACATGTATTTCATTTTCATGGTTAGTGGCCATGATGTTCATCCAATTACAAAACAATTCATTAATACAAAATACAAAACCACTTCAATATGGTAAAATATATGAATTGCCATATATTTCACCTGTAGTAGATCCCAAGGGGTTATAATCCTTAGAAAACAGGGAGTACAAAGAAGGGACTTTTTATTGTTTCTCATTAATCAAATTTTTGAACAAGTGTGTCAGCTACCAAGCATGGGCCTATCACCAGATGGAAAGGTAATGGACAATTTAGAACATGCAAATCAGCACATTTGCCACTTTGTGACGATGTTAAGCTTTTCAACTGACTACAAAACAGTACTTTTTTACAAAAATGTTGGTGGTCGTTCTACACCTTTCATGGTACAGCACCGTTCTAAAGGTGTTTATTATTGTTTGCATGCATGTGCATATATGTAAATAAAATGGAAATGTGAAAGAAGTTATTTGCCTTTTGTTTATTTGTCACAGAAGAAAACAGTTAATTTTCTATTTTAGCTCATGAGAATCGTTTGAGCTATTGCTATCCGTCTTTTTTATACCTCCGCTTCCTCGAAGTGGGGGGTATAAAGTGATTGCTTCGTCCATGCGTCAGTCTGTTCGTCCGAAAGGTTTCCGGAGCATATCTCCCGTACTATTTCACCTACGGTTATGAATCTTGGTTTGTGGGTACATGCATGGAAGGCGGTGTGTCGCGTACCATGTAGGTCACTATGACCTCTGACCTACATAATGTCATCAGAAAGGTTTCCGGAGCATATCTCCCGTACTATTTCACCTACGGTTATGAATCTTGGTTTGTGGGTACATGCATGGAAGGCGGTGTGTCGCGTACCATGTAGGTCACTATGACCTCTGACCTACATAATGTCATCAGAAAGGTTTCCGGAGCATATCTCCCGTACTATTTCACCTACGGTTATGAATCTTGGTTTGTGGGTACATGCATGGAAGGCGGTGTGTCGCGTACCATGTAGGTCACTATGACCTCTGACCTACATAATGTCATCAGAAAGTTTCCGGAGTATATCTCCCGTACTATTTCACCTACGGTTTTGAATCTTGGTTTGTGGGTACATGCATGGAAGGCGATGTGTCGCTTACCATATGTAGGTCACTGTGACCTCTGACCTACATAATGTCGACAGAAAGGTTTCCGGAGCATATCTCCCGTACTATTTCACCTACGGTGATGAATCTTGGTTGGTGGGTACATGCATAGAAGGCGGTGTGTTGCGTACCATATCTAGGTCACTATGACCTCTACCATGACCTCTGATCTACCTAACATGAGACTTGCAGCATATAAAAATTTCACTTGATTCTTCCAATCCATATCACTCACACCAATTCCTGATCAATCAAAGCGGGGGTATTCACGAAGGCCCCCCTTCAAGTTACCTCTAGTTCATCATACATGAACCCGACTAATTATTGGCTTACCTGCCCTGAGGGTCCAAGAGAGCTCACCAGTATGCCATGATGCATTGTCCATCATTCATCTGGCATAAGCTTTTCTCTCCAACAAACTTCTACTGAATAACTGGACTAAATAGGCAGAGGGTCATGATATTTGGCGAGTAGCATACATGGATGATGGGCTATCAAGTGTGTTTAAATAAATGATCTTGACCAAATTTCAAGGTCACATGCCTAGGTCATGTGTAACTGTTAAAACATTTGAGCAAATTCTTCTGGATAACCAAGAGGCTTAGGGACATGATATTTTGACCAGTCCTAGTATGCTTAGATGAAGTGTTACTAATTTTATTCAAATGAATGACCTTGGCCTATTTTCAAGGTCACATGGATCAAATGGGTTAATACATTATAGATACTTTTTAAGAACCAAGAAGACTAAGGTCACAATATGTCGCCAGTAACATGCAGGGAGAAATGATCTTGACCCAATTAAGAGTCCCAGGGATCGGTCATAATAAACCCATTCAATTTCTTCAAAACATTTGGCAGAGTAGGTAACATGCTTGATGGAATGCTATCAATGAATGACCTTTACTCATTTTAAAGGTACAAAGATCAAATAATTTTTAGTTAAAAACTACATCAAAATTACCAAGAAGCCTATGATCATGATATTTGGTCACATGCTGGGATTGTGTGTTACAAGATTTATTTCAAATAAATGACCTTGACCCACTTTCATGGTCATTGGAATGAAATGTAACTAGAACACTGACAGGTCAGTAAGGGCCCCGTCTTGTGGCAATTATATCCCCCATAATCATCAAGAAGCAATCTGCCCATATAGCTGAGCTTGACGTTTGACATTTGGACTTCAAAAAGAATCTTAAGGAAGCAAAATATACATTTTACATGTACTATGATGTGATGTGTTTCCTTCCACCTCCATATTTGCTGGGCTAACAGAAATGTAATTACCGGTGCAATACTCATTTGTTAGCTTTGATTTGTTTTATTTCACCTTATATACCTTCTCCATCAAGAGCCAGAGATCCACTTTGTCTTTGACCATTGGACCCAAATGACCTTAACCATTAACCCAGTGACCCTGATCTTTGGTCAGTTGACTTATTCTTTAATTCCTACCAACTTTGCTTCTTAATATCATAACAAAATGTTCATCAGTGAAAAATACAAAACTTGACCTTGACCCTTTGGACCCAGTAACCTTGAACTAAGGTCAGTTGATTTTGTGTTAAGTTCTGAACAACATTGCTTCATAATGTCATAACAAAATGTTCACCAGTGAAAAGATACAAAATTTTAACCTTGACCTTGACCTTTGGTCAGTTGACTCGTTGTTTAATTCTGATCAACTTTGCTTCATCATGTCATAACAAAATGTTCATCAGTAAAAAGATTTAAAAAAATGACCTTGACCTTTGGATCTCATGACCTTGACCTTTGACCTCAACTTTTTACCTCAGTGTGTCTCTTTGTTTAATTCCGAACAACTTTGCTTCATAATGTCAAAGCGAAATGTTCACTAGTGAAAAGCTACAAAATTTGACCTTGACCCCTGACCCGATGACCTTGACCTTTGGTCAGTTGAATCCTTGTTTAATTCTGATCAACTTTGCTTCATAATGTCATAACAAAATGTTCATCAGTGAAAAAATGTAAAATTTGACCTTGAACTTTGAACCTAATGACCTTAACCTTTGACCTTGACTTTTTACCTCAATGTGTATTTTTATGAACTGAACATCTTGACCAAGTTTCATGTACATCGGTCAATGAATACTAAAGATATCAGCAAGGAACAAAATTTGTGGACGGACAGACAGTGATTACTATAGGGCACCCGTATCTCCGATACGGGGCCCTAATAATTCTTTTAAACAACGTATCCAAGATAATCAAGAGGCCAAGGGTTATGATATTTGGTAAGAGGCATGCTGGCATGGAGCACCACCATATTTGTTCAAATGAGTGTCTTTGACCCAATTACAAGGTCACAGAGATCAAATGTAGTGAAACCTTTCAAAGAACTAAAGGCCAGGTTCTGAACCCTTGATATTTTGGTCAGTAATAAAGTAAGTAAAGTGTAAACAATGAATTGACCTTAACTCATTTGAAGGTCATGGGTAGATTTTATTTTGAACATTTGAAATATTTCTTAATAATGAAAAGGCCTTATATCAAGATGTATAGCAATATAAGTTAGTTAAGATAAAAGACCGACTTACTTTAAAAGTCACATTGTCCAAAGCCCTTCCAGAATGATTCATTAACATCTTCAGCATTAACCCATTTATGTGCTCATGACCTCCCTTGTTGTGCAATGATTGTGTAACTGACTGATTATACTGATCAGATTTAAATTAAAATTTTCCTATTATGATGTAATTTATAAAGTATGTACATACAACGATGAATGCCACATTGAGCAATGAAATTGCTTTTTTATAACACACAGCCAAGGTAAAAATGTCTGATTCAAAGAAGCTGTTGATACCATAGGTTATTTGCCGACAGCCCTAAGTAGATATTATACAGGCAAATGAACTATACGGTAATCCAGCTAGATTTTTGTATCCTAACAAAATACAGTGTGTAAATCTCTAAGAGTTATACAGTGGAACCTGCTTATTATGATATTTTTAATTTGTCAGAGAAAATATTATAATAACGGATAAATATTAAAATGATAAATGATCAAGCCGTTTTCAATCACTTTTGGGTTGTCTGAACCGAAAGTGAGATGCCCTTTAATCATCAGACACAGATAGATAGATTTATAACCTATATATAAACACATTCAGTGTGAACATTTTTCGCAAAATTTACTCAACATGAAAAAACACACTATGGTAATTCCCACTTTTACAGTACATAAACACCCAAACAGAACACAAACACAATCTGTCATTATAATAAGAATTTATCATGGGATTCTTCAACAAGTTGTATAAAGTAAAACATGAAATCTTGAACAAAACATATACTTAAATGAATCATGTTACACAATGGCACACAGTGTCAATCAAATTTTCACCTAGTAAAAGCTATTTAAATAACAATCATACATAATTTTTACTATAGTATTGCTTAGCAACTGATAGCACTTCTACATCACTGTAGCACATTTAATTATCTTATGACCTGAGTTGTGATTGAATATAAAGCGGAAAGAATGGCAAGAGAAAAGATTTCAATTGTTTGCCAACACGTGTATCCCAGATTATCTCCCCTTCCTTACAGCCAAGATGTTCAAAACCTGATTAATATCTAGACCATAATTTTTTTTCTTCGAACGATCATTTTCGAACGTTTTGGTATTTAAAAATCAATCATTTTAAAATTAGATCAAAGGTTTGTGCTTTGTTAAAATTTGTTGCTTAACTTCGACATACTTGAATAAGCTATTTTAAGTTCAGACTTCCAAGTTATTGGAACTATACCCTGTCTGATAAATAGCAATACTATGATTCACATTTCATAAGCCATGTAGGACTTCAGACCTTGGGGTGATGGTCATTTCAACAAACTATGCCTCGTCTGATAAGTAGTACTACTGTCATTCACATTTCAGAAGCCATTCAGATTAAAACTAATAACATTATGTATAAGGTACAACTTCAATTTTGCTTTAAATCAACAAAAATTGTGTTTCTGTGTGTGATGTCCTGACATATTTGCTCTTCAACCATACCAGAAAATACATACCTATATTGTAATGAACTGAAACATCTATGTATTATTTCTATAATAGTGTATCAAGTTACTGCATCTGTTTTAGCACTTCTATTTAAAGCTGTCAAGGTTTTATATATGAGCACCAATCACTAATGAAATTACCTGTACTGTTGGAATTTCCTATGAACACAAAATAATGGTTAAGGTAGCATTTTAAAATTCTCCAGACAACATATATGCAGGAAACACTGTCTAAATTGTATTTAAACCAGCATTACCATTTCTACTGTTGTTTCATGGGCTTTTGCCTTATGAATTTGGAAAAATCACTTCCATAAAATTACTTTAAATATTTAAAGTAAATTTATGGAATCCAGGAGAATGAACTTTACAGCCTTCCTAAATTATTAAAAAAAATGCTTTTGATTTAATTACAATAACTTAATGATCCCTGTCCCGATGTTCTGTGGTTTTCCACATCTAGAGTAACCTCCCCTTAATTTCATGTTGGATATAAGTGTAGCATGGTTGTGCCGGGACACTTCCTTTGCCAAGGTAGCTCATTCGAGAGCTACAAAATAGCAATCTGAAGATCAGAGTGGTCTAGCCCACTTTTTTTTTTTTATGTTCTAATCACTGTTATCGATTACATCATGGTTTTTTCATAAGAAGTAGTTTTTAAAAATAGCTGCATGGTATGGTTTTTCTTTTCAGAAGTGATTTATCAAAGCTACAATTCCCAATGCATAGTTAGTTTTTTGGGAAGTGGAATCCTAAAGTCAATTAATTCAAAACAACAGAAAGCTCAGAGTTCCAGAAAATCAATGGGAAACTATGTTGAAATTATCTATTACAATTTCTGCTTCCTAAAACTGTCTTTTAATTTGAAAAAAAGGTCAATTGTTCAAACAGCAAAAACAATTCAACATCTTTACAGACAATGATACATGCTGAAATCAATAATGAGCAAACATCAGTTTGAAATGTATTACTTTTTGACTAGAATCTAAGGCAGAGCTAAATGGAATATGTATCCTAGCTGTAAAGTAGATATAGCTTTGTGACCCTTATACACTAATCACAGTAAGTTTCAGTGTAGTGACCTGGCCACAGTAAGCTTTAGTGTAGTGACTTGGCCACAGTAAGCTTTAGTGTTGTGACTTTGCCACAAAAGCTTTAGTGTAGTGACCTGGCCACAATAAGCTTTATTGTAGTGACTTGGACACAGAAAGCTTTAGTGTAGTGACCTGGCCACAGTAAGCTTTAGTGTCGTGACACAGACAGATTTAGTGTAGTGACCTGGCCACATTAAGCTTAAATGTAATGACCTGACCACAGTAAGCTTTAGTGTAGTGACCTGGTATCAAAAGCTTAAGTGAAGTGACCTGGTCACAATAAGCTTTAGTGTAGTGACCTGGCCACAGTAAGCTTTAGTGTAGTGACCTGGTCACAGAAAGCTTTAGTGAAGTGACCTGGCCACAGTAAGCTTAAGTGTTGTGACCTGGCCACAGTAAGCTTTAGTGTCATGACCTGGCCACAGTAAGCTTTAGTGTAGAAACTTAACCACAGTAAGCTTAAGTGTAGTGACTTGGCCACAGGAATCCTTAGTGTAGTAACCAGGCCACAGAAACTTTAGTGTTGTGACCTGGCCACAGGAACCTTAGTATAGTAACTTGGCCACACTAAGCTTCAGTGTAGTCACCTGGTCATAGTAATTAAACTTTAGTTTAGCATCTTCTTGGCCACAGTAAACTTTGGAGTATCAGCTGTGGGACATCAAAATGACTTATGATAGCCAACATTTACAGGTAGTTAAAATGTTCAGAAAACGTTATCTTGATTATAACATGGAACAATACATCTAGTACAGTCACAGTAAGCTGGCAATCACAGAGCGGAGAATCACATTATGTGTCATCACTTAAGACTTTTGGCTGCTAATTAGGGGAACAGATGTCTGTTTGGGGTTTTTACCTGCAAATAGAAAAATATTATTAGTAAGTACATGGAAATCATAATACATATATATAAACATATCTGAATAATTTGTAATTACAGTTGCTTACTCTTTTCCAACAGTGATTAATTTGGTTTGTTTTAGTTTGATCTCATTTTTCATTGATGGCCACGTTAAAAGCAATGGCAATAAACAATAGAAGCAAATTCATTGATATTTGTATCATGTGATTTCAAGACATGTATTAGATGTAGTCTATTGTGCACAGATCACATCCATGATGAAACTCAGCGGAAGACATTTATGTGCATAACAATTTTTGTAGAAATCGTCCTATCAGTAGGGCAGTCATTGCATGGAAACCAATTTGTCGTCACCATGAGACATGTCAACATGTGATTAACAAATTTTGTTGAGGTCAATCCATTTAGTGCAGATATTGTATGGAAAGTTGGAAACCAATTATCCAATGACAAATTTGTTCTTTGTAACACCTTAAAGTATGCATAAATATTCACAGGTCACATTCATGATTGAACTCAACCTGAGACATGTCAACATGTATGTGCATAATGAATTTCATCTAAATAGACCTATTAGGGCAGTTATTACACGGAAACCAATTTACCAATCTCAAGTTTGTAACCTCACTAAGTACACTTAAATATGCATGGATTAAAATCACAATTTAACTTATTCTACAACATGTTAATATGTATATATCCTATTTTGTTGAAATCAGACCATATTTAGGGCAGCAATGCCATCTTATTCTTCTAAGCTTCTCAAAATTGAACAAGCAAAAATAATGCCCAAAGGGTACCTATGTAAGAGATAAGAGAAATATCAATAACAAACTCTACTGTTAAATCAAAGAATCAATGTGCACGGCCTCCATACTTCTTCACTACACAATTTACATGTTAATTCAAGTACCAACTCTATGGAAAAATTCCTACCTTTGAACTTTTTCACGGCTCTCTTTCGCTCCTTAGAATCGTAGTACCATACTGTTATTGCATATCTGTTGACACAAAGCATTGCAAGATTTTAATTTTTAATTCAGAGACAAAAAGTTAAGGATACAGAACAAAATTCTTTAAAGTAGAATGCAATATTCACTGATGATCATGATCATGTTACTACATTATGAACTGTAGACAAAATCAGATTCTACTGGCCTGCACTTTTAAAATTTATATCGGGGCTAATGATTTTTCTCTCAATATTTTCTTTAAGAACATGGGCTGGTAGAAATTTTCAGAATCCATCTATAGGCCAGTTCTGTAAACTTCAAATTAACACCCCTAACATGAGGCCCATGTGGTCTGTATCAGTCTCCTTGATTTTCAAGCAATCATGACAAATATTTTCATTTGTATTAGACTAGTACACATGTACCACAAATATTTCCCATTTTGGGGTCTGCAGTAGTAGTAAGGGGCATGAAATGTAAATAAAGGCCCATAACTCTACAATTAAGACGATTCGGACCCCAAACTTTATAGTATGCTCCACCATGCAGAGATGCATAAGTTATATCCATTGACTTTTGTGGCCCAAGTGATTGATTGTAGAAGTGTTATGGTCCTGACAAAGAAGATATAGCAGGTGATTTATATTACAGGCATGTTTATTAAGTTTCCGGGAAAATCAATACATTCTTCAAAGAGTTGTCAAGTATTATGCTGGAGTTTATACCTAGCTATCACTTTTGAAACAATATTAATATTAGAGCTGAAGTCTACTTGGGGTTTCGAGTAGACACAGCTCGTGCAAAACTTGCCAATATGTTTGTGCATACCAAAATCGGTCAATATTGATCTGCATGCTAAATTTGGTTGAAAATTTATCCATTTTAGGGTTTTTTCTTCCCGCATAGAAATTTTACATAAGTAGCCTCATTAATTATTTCAAAACATATAAACCTGTATACAAACTCATTTATTATGCTTCAATATGTATGCATCACAGGAGAGACCAAATTTAATCTGGGACTTGTCATACGCAAGTGCACACCAAGTTTTGTTAAAATCTTACTACTTTTAGGACGGCCATTGAACAGTAACTAAGGATGAGTGAGGGGCACACCCAAATTAATATCCTCCACTATCCCTCAAAGCAGGGCAATACAATATTACTGGAGCCCATGTGTCTCCAATTATATATCCATACCAGTAAGAGAATGCCACTGCTACCTTTGTAAGTGTACTAACCGTGTTTTGAATGCAGGCATAACTTCATGGGGATTACGTCTGTCCGACCAAAAGAAGAGCAGGCGGTCAAACTTCGGCTCGATGGAAGCCACTATATTTTGGCCTTCAGGATATATCTTTAGCAGTCCACCATTGACCTGATGATAGATTAAGGGGAGAACGTGTCATTCTAAATATGACCCAGCAGAAAATGCATAATTTAGATTATTTATGCATGAGAAGTGCTCAGTGTGAATGTATGTAAAGTACAATTATTCACTAAAACTGTTGACTCATGCACGTCATCAAAGTCTGTCTATGACACAGCTGACACCCAATCTCTTACAAATCCTTCCATGAGAACATGCATATTTTAGATGTTCTTGCTCACTGAATATTATAAATATTGTTGTAATATGCTGTGTGATATGTTTCCAGGTTAAATGTGGTTCATTCACAACTCGTCACAATGGTGTTCCCAAAGCACATGGTTTGTATTACAATCTGAATCCCTCACAAATACACACTTAATAATAATAATGGCGAAGGGTCCCGAAACTGAGGTGGATGGATAGAAATACTCGGATAGTTTAATACACTGTAGTCGTTTTACTTGTAAGATTTCAATGAAAATTTTATTGAAACTTGACAACTAAATATATCTGATGTGCTAGTATCAGATACAGTTTAATAACATTAAAAGCAACATTTTCCTTTATAGAATAACATTAATTTCACACCACAATTTGCCCAAGGTCTTTTACATTGCTTCGACAGCGAAATAAGATTGCTATCTAAGTTCTTGCTTTGACATATCATACATGGAAAATACTGAAATACAAATTTTACAAAGATCAAACTGTTAATTACTTTTGCTTCCCAGTCTTTGTTGAGGTAATAAATACAGGTAACACAGCGCCCATCACCATTAGGGTTGTCCACGTGTCTCATGTAATGGGAGCCCTTTCCAGGATAGCAGGCTACCATGGCCTACAATAAAGGGTACAGTTGTAAAAATAGGCTACATTTTCAAATCCTTATAACCCCTCCTCCTGTATATATACAGTAGTTATGTTACTGTATAGCAGGATATTTCAGTGGGGATGATATTTTCACGATTTCACAGGTCGAAAATGTGATCACGAAAATATGATCCCCTGAATAATATGACAAGCGTAAAAATGAGTCACTTTAATAAATCTTCACAATCATATATGTCATGAAGTAGCAGACATGTGGTATGTGATCATGATGATTCATATAAAGAGTATGAATCTACTACTAATGATGTTTGAAAATATGTTATATCACAATCTAATAGTTTTATTTATGATTTGTTTAACAAAAATAGTTACTTGCTGTCATCAAGCCAATTCATTTGACTATTTGACACTTTATATGCTAATGTCAAGTTTCTTTGCTTAAATTAAAACACCCCAAAAATTTAGTTCCTTCACATGTCTAGATTGTGAAATTATAATCTGTGCAAATTTAATTTTCTAATTTTGGGTCAAAATCGTGAAAATTTCAGCCAGCATAAATAACCTGTTATACAGTATCTCAGTGAAAACAAATCTATCTGTCTTGCCAGTGAAAAACAATTAATACTCAAAACTGAACTGTCGCTCAAACTTCATGTAACAGTTATAATTATAGAAACATCATGCTCCAATGACAACCTGCCTAGCAGGCGAAAACATGGCAGCAATGAGGTATAAAAGATACACATTATGGATACCAGGCTTCAGGAAATAATTACTTTATTTTTATATTTATTTCAATTAATACTCAAAAGTTTACGTCATTTGACTGTGAAATGACAGATCTACAGCATATATTTGATTTCTTGGCATGGTTACGAAATACGACTACACCATGTACCATGTATATAAATGTGACTGTTGTCTGAAATAGGATCTACCAGTACACATGTGCAGATCTCCATTTGATTTCTACTGACCAGTGTTATATACATGGTATATATTATATTATAACCATCAATAGAATATCCGGAATTATTACATGTGGTGTACATACATATTTAATTTGTGTAGTAGTTTTCTGATGCAGTATTCAGGACTCCTAAAATTACTGTCTTAATATTTGGGTTAGAAATTTGTGACAAATTTAATATAGTAAATTGTACTGATACCTTATAAACTATGTATAGGTATATATATTAAAGCTTCATAAATATTCTTAATTAGATTTTGTTGGGGCTATTGAAAATGTTTGATATTCACTAAGAAAATAGAAATAAGATTTATAGTAGAACTTTTCAAAATCTGCCTGCATTCATAAAATCAATACCCTTGTGTGTTGAAAGTAATGAAAATCACTAAAAGTCCAAAACACAAAATATCAAAATATCTTATGATATCAAGTAAAATACTGCAGAACATACAGAAATATACCATGTAAGTGAACAGTTTTTCAGTTTATTTTTTTAAATTATACATAATGCAAAGCCCTGGCCTATTGCCACCAAAACTGCAGACTGAAGAATTAGAAGGAGCTTGAGGAAAAGAAGGGTGTCGACTGCAATAGTGTCAAAAATTCAAACTCTCTACAATAAATAATGAACTTGTGTATTTTATCTGCTATAGTTTTGTACACTTTGAATTACTCATGACAAATACTAACTTTCACAAGCCACATACAAATGTACCTTATCACGAAACCTCCAAACACAAATTGAAATTGAATCTTAATAATTTGCCCTTTTTAATTTACAACTGTTAACATTAAGTTTCTAACTTTATCTTTTAAGTACATTTAAAGATTATGATCTTTACAGCATAGACATTGTGCAGCTTACAGTATTTTTACCTTGTTTGTGACTCGTGCTTTTTCTTCAAGATTCACCAACTTTTTTGAGAACCCACTATATTATATAATAATATATATAAATTTTAGAAAAAAATGGATTTTGTTATCTATTTCATCTCAAAGCTAAATTGGTGAAATGTTCACGATGCATTGTTACCTTTCAACAGATATTCTTTCGTCAGAGACTTTTCGGAAAGTTCACGTACATAACAGGTCCAGTACACTCTGCCGATTGAGCTACATAGCTGGAAAGACCTAGATAATAGCCCCATTGACCTATCTGAAATAGGTCTTTTGAGCTATTTTCAAGTAATTTTCTTTTTTTAAGGAAAACGGAATAAAGTCACATTTAAAAGAAGATTGTATCATTAGGTTCATAACAAAAGCATTAAATATAAGTATTCTTTTTAAAAAATAATGATGTAAAGTAATCCGAAACTTTACATTTATGAAAAATGAAAATAAACATCTAAATGTATGCTTTTTGTAGTCAACATTACCATTAACCTTATTGTTTTATGCAACTTTGCTTTAATTTAATAAAATTTGAAATCTGAGAAAATATAGCTCAATACAGCTATAATTTATAGGTGTATATAGAGCTCTATATAGCTCAATCGGCAGAGTGTACTGGACCTGCATAACACTTTGTCTTTCTCTTTACTCTCCTGTTGCCAATCATTGAAATTCTCTCTTCTGATTGGCTAATTTTTCACCAACCAGATTTTATGTATAATATATGAATAGAATTAAATTTCAGGATATAAGAGATTCAGATTTAACGGATGTAACATGCAAAAATTATAGAATAATTGTAACCTTTAAAATTGGAGCCATGCAACATAATTTATTAATATTCAATTATTCATTCTTGCTTTAATTTGGTTTACTCAATTTATTTTTATTTTGTTTTTACTTACAGTTTATAGACAGAAATTCAGTTACCCGATATTTTCAAGAAATTATTCCTCTCCAACATTCATATTAACTAAAATATGTCTTGTTTTGCCTAAACTAGGTACTTTTATTACCTTTGTTCTCCCGTTGATGTCAAAGTTTCCCAATTGTCCAGCACATTGTAAAATCACAGCATCCACAGAGGAAATTAAAAACTGGATATGCTCACACTCTGGTTCGGTTCCATCTACCCAAGTAATTATATCACCACGGATTCTTCTGGTAGATTTCGTGGACTGGTCTATTACCTGTCCCCCAGCAAATGTCCCCGATTTGTGCAATGAATTCACATTTTCCAAGATTTCTAGTCCTTTAGACTCGCCCAGAAAATTGTCTACAACACATATACCATATTTATTGAGACAGTTTACAACATACTGGGCCAGAGCCTTATTCCTGCTCTCTATGATAGATATGTAAGTTTGACGGGTATCTACATCCCCTTTGGGATACATAGTACTCTCAGAATGTCCAGACTTTGTCAAACTATAGTCAGGCTTGCACAAGGCTGAATCGTCTGATTCTAAAATGAACGTCTCGGAACTACCCTCGATGGTGAACACATCGCTATTTGAACTTTCCGAATATGAACCTGAAGGAAGGACTTCATCAGACAAGTCCATACTACGGAATGACATACTCTCCACATCCTTGTCGTCTATGTCAGAGCCCTCACGTACACCACTTTGCGCCTCGGGTAGTTCACTGTCACCGGGCTGCTTACCCTTTTTAGGTCCATGCATTACAGAAGGAATCGGCTGACAGCTCTCGCCGCCTTCAGCATTTTTCGTAAGCATTATTGAATGCATCGATGAAGAACATGTTGTATTCGATTCTAAATGTGAAACACTGATATTGTCACGTCCAACAGACTCCATACCAGAGTTGTTGACCTCGCCCACTCGGGTTTGTAATTCCGCGCTTGTCATGTCGAAGCCGTCATGACTATTTGTCTTGCTGTCGTTGTGTTGTTTTTTCGTGCATGTTTTTTTGTGATATTTCCAATCATATTTTTGATGTTCTCTACTGCAATACCAAGTCTTCTTGCACCTACTGCATAACTGGAGGTCATCGTGAGCCCCACACAACTGGCACACGATGTGTTCGTTCGAGATGTCACGTACGCCTTCCGCCATCTTATATTTTCTCGGTTCGGGGAGCGATTATTAATTCTTTAATATCATGATTTCGTTCCGTGTTTGCTTAATCGATGTCCTGTTAATCGATAATTTGATACAAATTGTCGGTGGAATAAATCACTTAATTTGTTATAGCTGTCAGTTCCGTTATATAGCGAAACTACACATATCAAAGGGAGTCGTCATTATTTGTCTTAGGCTCAACGACACCACGTGGCGCTCACAGAATATTATATTCTATTATTTATGTATGCATTCTACAGCTAGGCCTAATTCTGTTTGTAAGAAAAGCCTTCGATGACCAATATCTAAGGAAGATATAGCCGTTAGTAGTTGATTGCATACAGTTCATCCCGGCTCTAAATCTTCAAAATACCTGCAAAGGGGTCTTGATTTCTCCTTAAAGTGAAAATGGCGTCAAATTTAAATGTCCTCCATCAGTCTCCATACAAGCAGAATATAGCGTAACGCGGCAACTGGGTGGGGAAAAAAGAATTAGAGATTCTGACGTCAAAATGAGATCGCCGGCCTGTTATCAGATTCCGTTATTAAATGACACCGCCGATTAACTTGATCATTAATGTATCATGACTAAATATATTAATTACCGCGGATGATCAACAGACTTTGACGCGAGCTAGTCAAGTCTATAAGATTAACTTGAATAAGTAGACCTAAGTTAATAAACGACTGCGGTTGAAAAATAACTTGATATGCACGATTTATCATACTAATGATCCGAAGTTCCCTGACAATCACAACATTTTCCATCCTCGATATCCAGGGGTTACGCTCACTTTCGCTCTCAGTGAACGTAACCCCTGGATATTGAGGATGAACATTTTCGGAATCATGCATAATTCGTCCGACCATTTTACAATTTCCATGAACTGATTAAGCCAAAATCTAATGAGAAAAATCAGTGCATTTGTTATTTTTGGATCCGATGAAATCTAATACATGGTCGCAATGACAGCGATTTCGAAAATCTAATTTGACTTTAAACTCGCATTCCATTGATTTTGCTGATGGATCGGTGTAGATCCAATCTTGCTTAAAGGAAGTATGCCCCTTTAATGCTTCAGTAGACAAATGGCGAATTAGCTTGATATTTTGGCAGAAACTTAATTCTAACGTTGGGTTATCATGAAATGGTGCTGCGTTTGATAAATCAATTAGTTCCTGAGTAGAAAATGAGGTGATAAATTTGAAAAAGGCAACATTTGATATTTTAGATGAATATTGTGGTGAATTTTGGGGAGAGTTATCTCCCTTAGACCGATAACCGNAAACACCAATAGGAAAATTAATATTATAAAGTCCCTTCTTATATCACAGTTTAATCATCTTTTTATTTCTTTACCAAATCCAGAAGAATGCTTTATTAAAAAACTGAATACTGAACTTTATAATTTTTTATGGAACAGCAAATCAGATAAAATAAAAAGAGACATTTTAATTAAGAATTATCTGGAAGGGTGACTTAAAATGCTACATTTACAATCATTTATAGAATCTTTAAAATTAACCTGGATTAGGAGACTATATACAACAGAAGAAAAGTGGCATATTTCTTTTTAAGTTATATGGAAATAGAAATATTATAGCTAATCGGGTACTGATTATATGCTAAAATGCCAGAAGAGTTGTAAAAATTAATTTTGGAAAGATGTGCTATTAAGTTGGTGCAAGCTAGCTGAAAAACTTGTAAACTTTGGAAACAAAAAGGTAAATATTCTCAAATCACCCATTTGGTATAATAAATCAATAAAAATACAAAACAAGAGTATATTTTATAGGGAATGGTATAGGAAAGGGGTAACAATAGTTTATGACTTAATTAAAGAAAGAAGAAATAAATTGTTTTACAGCCATCAAGAGTTTTCAGAGAAATTTGATATTCATACAAATTTTCTCACTTATCAAGGTGTCATTAATTCCATAAAGAAATCCATTTCACATGAGGATGTTTCTAATTTGAATGTAGATTATCCATATATCCCAATTAATTTGGAAATTTTTCTTAAACACAAAAAAGGAACTAAAGACTTTTACCATGTTCTATGCCAAAATAATACAATATCTACCGGTAGAAAGAAGTGGGAGGAAATATTTGAATTTAACACAGAGATATGGAAGAAAATCTATACCATTCCCTTCAAAATTAGTAAAAACACAAAACTACAGTGGCTTCAATTTAGAATCAATCAACAGATTTTAACTACTAATTCATATCTTTATAAAATAGGTCTTGTTAATAGTCCATATTGTTTTCATTGTAAAACTGACACAGAAACTATAGTTCATGCATTATGGGAATGTAAAGAAGTACAAGTGTTTTTAACAGATTTTGAATCATTGCTAGATGTGTTATTAATTCCATTTGCTTTTAATAAAGAATCTTTTATCTTTGGTTTCTATGATAGAAAAAANATGTGACATCTCGGCGCGGTCTCTTTTTACATCCTGACAATCAAACTGATAACACGTGAGGGATTTTCCTCCGCATAGTCTTATAGATTTTGGGACCTGAGAGCAGTTCCCAACTACATGTTGTGACGGTGTGCAATAGCACACACCGAATTCAGGACAATATAGAACAAAAACCTGCAGCTGAAATTTCAATTGTTATGTAACCTCAATTGTAAAAGTGGGCCACTGTTGCCCAGTTCGAAATGACCAAACTCCTTTCCTTATTAAGTGGGTAAGATGCATTGCACAAGGCGCTCTACTTTGTGCCTTTTTATTTTTCATTATTTCAAATGATGTCCGAAACTTTACCAATCGAATTGTTGAAACGGTGTTTTTTTCTATAATCATCCAAAGTTAATTGATAGCTCAATCCTTTGTCAGCTTGGCCCCTCATTAATCTATAAACGGATTAATTGATCCAAATAAGAACCCCCATTTTATAAGCAAACTCGTGCGATATGAACCATCCAAGTATGGAATTGGACAACCCTTCTTTAATGGATATGACCGTTGTACAATCCCCACCAATTCTTGCTATTTTGGAGCCGATTGGAAATCTAACATGGCAGCCATATTGAAAATCTTTTTTTCTTAACTTAACGTCAAATTCTACCGAACCGGGTTTGATGAAACGATGGTGATGTGACCTTATCGTACTATTTTGGAGCTGATTTGAATCGAGCATAGCCACTAGAGACGCCATTTTGAAAATTTACTCTACGTTGAACTTGGCTTTAATTATATTGAACTGATTTGGATAAATGTCTTATGTAAATTATTAGTGTATGGTACAGCCTAATTATTTTCGGGTCGATTTAAAACCTAATATAGGAGACATTACGACCATTTTAAATGACATTTTTAATTAATTCAAGATTAAACTTAACCAGTTTTGTTGAAACTTTGCTTTCCTTTTGAAAGAAAATCGATGAAGACCCCTTCCCATACCCTCCCCATCCTCGCGCGATGGCGATGCAACCGGTATCGAAGACAGACATCGCTACTGANCCGTTGAAAAAATTCAAAAAAAAAAAATATATAAAAAAAAAAAAAAAAGATTTCCTAAGCAAAAGAAGAAGTTTCTATAGGTGGTTATAAAATTAATTACGCGACAATTTATAATGACTTCGGAAGATCAACGACACGTACAACAGAACACATATAGCTAGTACTGGTAAAAAAGTACTGAAACAACTGTCGAAAGTTCTTTTGAGAAGACTTATTACTGAACACCTATTGCTTGGTCCGTCGCTTGACGTACGCACCTGTCGTCTGTCGTCATTTACCTTTGCTTTAAAAGACATCACCTCCTAAAATATTGGGCATATTTGAACCAAATTGTAGTGGTAGCATGCTCACTGTATCCGAAACGTTATCCATGCTTTTAAGTCACAAGAATCGATGTTTGTTTTACATAAGAATAATAATAGCCATTTACGAGTGTTCCGTTCGCTCCATGGATGCTTCCTGCATATCTATTTAAGCAATGTCTTGAAGCACTGCTTCCTTTGATTACCTTAGTCATGAACAAATCATTGGCTGAATCAAAGGTTTTATTGTGTTTCAAGAAGGCACATGTCAGACCATTGTTAAAGAAGCCTNTGGTTACGTTTAATTTCACGTCGACTGACGTTTCATACTAAAAAGTTGGTCGTGTATTTGAGTTATCTTTTGTTAAACATTTACCATTCTAAACAATGTAAATAAAATCGCAGGCTGACCAAATCCATGTAGGCCACATGCAGGTAAAATCTGAAATCTACATTTTTTAGTTACTGTTTTAGCTGTGTGCTGCCGACTTGCGTTATCATACTTTTTACAAAACTGTTGATTTCGGTACATTATAGGGTTGGTTATATTACGAACTTAAATGCGTTTTCANAAAGGAGGAGTTGGAGAACTACCACCCAGTATCAAATCTGCATTTCCTGTCTGAGATCTTGGAGAAGGTTGTGTCCCGGCGTTCAGAGGTTAATCTCCATGCACACAGTCTCCATGACAACATGCAATCGACCTACCGCATGGGACACTCTACTGAGACGGCCCTCCTACGTGTACAAAATGACATAGCTTCTGCATTGGATAATAAATCCAGAGCGGTGCTTGTCATGCTGGACTTGTCAGCTGCATTTGACGTCATCGACCATGGCATACTTTATAAACGTCTGGAGTACTTTTATGGAGTGACTGATACCGCACTATGCTGGATACAGTTTTATCTGAGTGAACGACGACAGTGTGTTGCCATTGGATCTACCATCTCACATGACAAAGTACTAGATTTCGGGGTTCCTCAAGGGTCGGTGTTAGGACCACGACAATATTGCATGTATTCCGAACCGATCGAAGAGATTAGTCGTCGCCATAGCATTCGCTATCATTGTTATGCTTACGACACACACATTTACATGGTCATCAAACTACAGGACATTGGGGATACAATTTCAGAAAATCTGGAAGCTTGAACGCCAACATGCTGAAGTTTAATTAGAAAAAAGAGGGAACTAATCGTCTTTTCCCTATTGTCAACAAACAATTGCTCTCCAGCTCAAGGTTGGTGCC